AAACCTGAAAGCAAGTGTTTTGAAAATGAAAGCTGTATCAAAAGCAAAGGGCAGACACACTGTGCAGTCTGACCTTATGAAGTGTTTTCTTTTGCTGACTAGAAGGACACAACATTTTTACTAAATTATATGGTATTTTTTTTAAAGATTGTTAACAAACAAAAACATTTAATAAGACATCAGGACTTTATCATACTGGCCATATGAAGAACTGTGCAAACCCTTAGGCTTATTTAATTTACAGTGAAAACAGCCCTGAAATACTAGGTTAATCAGCTTTCAGCGTCAGGAAAAAAGACAGGAAACATATTTTTGCAAGCAATTACACAAAATCCTCAACAACTGGGTATGATTTCAATACTGAATTACTTTTCAGTATTTACCCATATGGATATGGAAAAAACATATTCCAAATCTATTTATCAGATATAATTTTGTAATGTATGAAAATGGCCAAAAGTGTATTTGTTAAATATATTTCTAAAATGCATTTATTTGTATGTTATATTTCTTTTCATGTATGTTGTGTTAACAAAGGTAACAGATATAACTAAATATACATGAACTGAATGAACAATATTGACTAAAATTATCCTAAATATAGTTCATAAATCTAATATTTCTCCTGTTGAGATTGTTTTAATTTTAATTGTAAGATTATTTACCTTGTTTCTAGACATTGTTTACTCATTTTAGGTCATTTTATGAAGTAAAATGATCTCACTATATTGGTAGATAATTTTGCTTGTTTTAAGAAATGTGTTTAAATACAGCAAAATCATCTGTCAGTATAGTGAGATAATTTTACTCCATAAAATGACCTAAAACAAGTGCACAGCTGTGTCAAAATGGGAAATATTAGATATATTGACTAGATTTAAGATCATTTCACTTCACAGGACACCACTGTTTGCAGGGTACGTATGTGGTAAGACAGAACTCACACAAAATCTCTTTCAAATAAACGATAATAAATCGTCAAACTGCATTTTCACAGTGCATCAATACTTACAGCACTTGCTTTTGCCATGTTAAAGGTTCATTTGCTAATACTTAAAATTGGAATACAAATTCATTCCAAAACGTATCAGTAAAGTGTATTAGACGAGTATATTTTCAAATGTATGATGAATAATAAATACATTTACATACGTTAATTTTTGTATGGCAAAAATTCCGCTTACATTTTAAAATAAATAACCTCTTAAAATCTCAGGCTTATTACATACTAAGGCTTATTATTCCGTAACTACAGGGACTTCAATGCAAACTGAGGGGCTGTTCTCAGGTTATATAACTGTGTAATGAAACCTTAGGCCTGCTGACCGGGCCTGGCCATTTAAGGGGTTAATAAAAGAGAATTTTCTCTTGTAACAGTGGGAATTGTGACGGCAACACAACAGATTCTTAGGCTTTGTAAGGAGATACAAACTCCTCCATTTAGAAAGTGGATAGATTCTTTAATTGAACGTGTCCTGTGAACAAATATTAACAACAGCAAAAAGAAAACCTCGTATCTCCATTTTTATAGTTTTTAGGTTTTTGACATAAATTGAAAATACCTGTTGTCCTTTACATTGTGTGTAAATTTCATGATGAATGGACTTAAAGAAACGGCCCAAAACGACTTGGAAGAAAGTCTGGTTCCATTGACTTACATTAAAAGTAAAGTAGGTTTTTTTCTTCTCCTGTAAAGTTACCATTTTGGAGATATGAGGTTTTGTTCCGGCCACAGCGATAAGATAAGTTAACACAAAGAAAGTAGGAGAGAGAGACGGAAGCTCAGACGTCGAGCGAGGTCGGAAGAGAGAGATGCACATTACACTGCATTGTTGTGCTTTATTCCTTTCAGGCAGTAATTGGAGGAAGAGAAGTAATTTGAAGCAAGAGTTATGCCACATACTTTACTGCAGTTATGTGACACTAATTGGCAATAAAGGGCATTGCCGTAGCTTCCTGGTTTGAATTCGGAATAATTACTTAAGCAGACAGCGTGGCTCGTGCTCAGAATTAAACAGACAGTATGGAGACCCTTAGCAACCAGGCAGCCTCCGCTGCTCAGCAACATGTTATTCAGGAGTGAAAAGAGAGAGAAGGGGAAGAAGAGGTGGAACACTGAGGGACTCTACTTATATTGTGTATCTGCCTCTCCGCAGCAGAGGTATAACGTCTGTCTGACCTCTCCTTAGTGCGGTATTATTGTATGCTGATGGATAGCCTGCTTTATTGATGACTAACACCACTTTGACCAGCACCAAGGTTTAACCGCCTGCTAGAAACAGCTCACGACTGTAGTGAAGAGAGTGTCGAAATCCTTCTCCATCCTTTTTGTAAAGTTTTATTGGTTTTCACAGAATAACAAGATGGCACAACAAGAAATGAGTTCTTTCTCCAAAATAAGTCAGTTCCCTGTTAGTTTTGCTAAGAATCTGTCACATTTAACCAACTGTGTCTGAACACATCGGAATTAGACCACCGCATTTAACCCATCCGTGCAGCGAAACACCACATACACACTAGGGGGCAGTGAGCACACTTGCCCGGAGCGGTGGGCAGCCCTATCCACGGCGCCCGGGGAGCAGTTGGGGGTTAGGTGCCTTGCTCAAGGGCACTTCAGTCACGTACTGTCAGCTGAGGGGATCGAACTGGCGACCTTCCGGTCATAAGGCTGGTTCCCTAGCCTCCAGCCCACCACTGCCCCCAGGCTTGTTACATACTAAAAAAAAAAAATAAAGATTCTATCCACATTCTAAATGTAGGACTTTCTATTTCTTTCTAACACCTGAGAATCTCTCTTATTTAACCCCTTAAATGGCCAGGGCCCATCAGCAGGCCCATGGTGTTATTACACACCTCTATAACCTAAGAATAACTCAATCGGTTTGCACTGTAGTTACTGACTAATAAGCCTTAGTATATAACAAGCCTGGGATTTGAGGGGGTTAATGTAGGGCAGTGATCTCCAACCCTGTTCCTGGAGAGCTACGTTTAGTTCCGACCTGTATCCAGTAAGCTGCCGCGCCCTGATCCAGCCATTCAAGGACTTGGGAAGAGGCTGATTAGCTGGAGCAAGTGTGGCAAATTGTGGAATTGTGGTTGGATATGGGCTTTTCAGGAAGGTGGGTCTCCAGGACGAGGGTTGGAGACCACTGATTTTCAGTTTAGTCTCCTAGAAGTCATAGTCTTATTGAAACTGGAGGATCAAGCCCATTTCTAAGAAATTTTAGCACTGTTTCCAAAAAAGTCTAAATCCTTTATCCCCCAAAAAGCATGAAAATATGCACCAGTTTCTTGTTTACACATCCAGCACTGTTGTCCTTCACTCCCATTCTATTAAAGCAGTAAAGTGATATCAGTGTAGCACTTTATACTGAATTAATTTGCCCATTGCTTCTCTTATGTGTCTCCCTTTATTAGACAAAGCCTTACGCCATGTATCTTAATCAATAAGACATTTGAGATCCCTTTGCCATATTAGCCTTAACCCCTTAAATGCCCACTGGGGGGGCCCAAAGTTTTATTACACAGTTCTATAACCTAAGAATAGCTCTGCCAGTTTGCACTGAAGTCCCTGTAGTTACTGAATAATAACCCTCAGTACAGAGGTGTTAAACTCAACCACTAAAAGGGCCATATTAAAAAATCTCAGCAAATCTGTGGGCCAGCAGTGTTTTTATTTCATTTTTACTTAATATTTTGCCATGACCCAAACTGGCCATTGTTTATTCACAATATGCCAAAACTGCAACAGCAAAATAGGCATTAAATACTTATTTAAAAATAAATCTAAATAAAAATAAATTGTTTGTTCAGAACGCACACTATGTGGCAGTGCATGCTGGGGACTGTAGTGCATCTCAGGGTGAAACAGGCTAATAAGTACAGAAAATCAAAATAATTTCGCAGGCCAAATAGAACTGCGTCACTTGGCCCGCGGGCCTTGTGTTGGACACATGGGCCTTAGTATATAATAAGGGTTAAGGGGTTAAGATGTCACAGCTACTACTCTGAAACACCTTCTATAGAATACGGATGCCTTCTGGAGGGGGTGTGGTAGCTCATCATATTCTACTGTATGTTTGTTTCTTGTTTTCATTGCTTTTATTTTGTTTTGTGATTCATTTTTTTATTATTTTCCATTTAAAGAAGAACACCCATATTCCAGCCCCAACCCACACACACATGGGACTTACAAGAGGTGGGGGAAAAAAAGAAAAAAAAACAAACACAAACAAAACATAGCTACAACATAGGACACGGGAGAATTACATCATTCACAACTTAAACGCAGCATATAGTTAAGCAAGCACAAGGGTCCTGACTTCTGTGAATCCATGTATTAAGAGTTCCAGGGCCAGCACTGCCAATTCCTGCAGGTGACATTTCCAGATATAGAATATCCAGTAAGGTATGGAGCCAATGATGTATAGACAAGTTATGGGGGGGGGGTAGCCAATGCTGGACAATGTTTTCACTGCTTTTAGACATTTTCTGATTTGCATAGCGCTGTTAAACCTCATATTTTCAAAATGGTAACTTTACAGGAAAAGGAAAAAACCTTCTTTACTTATAATGCAAATCAATGGAACCAGATTTTTTTCCAAGTAATTTTGGGTTGTTTCTTTTGGTCCATTCATAATAAAACTTACACACAACATAAAGGGCAACAGGCATTTTCATACTGTGTCAAAAACTGAAAAAACGACAAAAATGGAGATACGAGGTTTTCTTCCGACAGCAGCGATATATTTCCAAAAAATGATCCGTCTCCATCCTGAAAATGTTCACTGATTTATAATGGGACCTTATCTCTCTCTCTGTACAGTTGAATTTACAATGAACCTGCTAGAAAGGACTGTGTGCAGTGAAACGTAGACATGAACAGTGTTTATAATACACATTCATTGATGCTAGAAACACAAGAGAGCCACTCAAGGCATGTCACTGTGCTGTCCATGTAGAAACAACAGCACCTAAAAGCTCTTCTCTCATGTCCTCAGGACCTTGGGGTTTGGCGAAATGAACAAAATGAAGAACTTCAAGCGCCGCTTCTCGCTATCCGTGCCAAGAACAGAGACAATAGAGGAGAATGAGTTCACGGAGCAGATAAATCAGCTCAACATTCGACGGAACGAGGGTAAGAGCGCTAACTGCTAATCTCAACACCGCTGGGGCCGGAATTTAAATCTCTAAACATGCTGTTTTGGTGGCCTAATCCCACTGCTTTCTTCTCTGTTTGCATAGCCTGGTTTGTTCAAAGTTCACACATTCCTCCTCCATTTGGACAGAAAACTCAATTCTAATCTCTAATATAACTAATGGCCCATTTAATTATGGCCCAGCTTACAGCTTGCAGTCCTTTCCAAAAGGTTAAAAAGGTTTCTGGATTTGATATGTAGTAGTTGATCTGGGCCGGGGGCTTGTGCTGTTGGCCGTTTGGGACTCGAGACGCTGTTCTCGCTCTATTTGTAATGGAGAGGAGATCAGAGGAAGTGGGCCTAAGCCAGTTTAGTCATCGTTTGGAGAGATGGAAAAGTGCAGCAGAAGAGGAACTCATGCTGATGCTGAGCTGGCATTTTGGCCAGTCTCGGTAGACGCGAGGGGTCAGAGCTGTTCTGGAGGAAATGATAAGGGAACAAACGCTTGACCCCGCAGAAGCAGGACGCCGCCTGCCTCCCCTCACCAAATCATCCCTCTGTCAACCTGGGGGCAAGGTCCATTGCCTCAGCGTCTGCATTATTAATGCAGAGGTAATAGTGCAGTCTCATGGTGCCATCTGCTTCTGCCATCCACTTTCACTGAGTCAGTCAGCATTAAATAAAATTATTTTAAAGGATAGACAGCCTCTACTGTATGAATGGGATTATCTTCTGCTAGTGATGCTGAAGTGAAATCATTTGTTGCATTCAGACTGTTTTAAATCATTCTCTTTCATGACTGGTTGCAACCACTATGAAAACAGTAGCCACGTTTACATGCAGCCTGGTAGTAAGTTAGCAATGCGACTCATAGCTCAATCGGAATAGTCTAGTCTGATTGAGGCCATTCGGAATACAATTTCTATCCGATTGAACGAGGTGTGTAATCCTGTAAATAATCTGTTAAGTAGAAGAATAATAGCAGGGTAAACGCCTGTATCTGATTACATTCCCAATCGGAATGTTTAAGTACGTTCTGTGCATGTGCGTCACGTCATAACGGAAGTTTATAACAGAGAACTTATAGACAGGAGAATTACCACTCTATAATGTCTTCCTGGTTTCTCAAACGCTAGAGGGCACTCCTGAGCGTCTCAAAAATTAGTGGGTTAAGATGCAGCATTTGAGTAAAATCATAGTTTATAAATGCGTAAACATTTTTCAGATAAAACAATACGTTCATTTCCTGAACACAGAACAGCGTAAAACATTTGAACACTGCTGTTTTATTTTTTAACACTCTTGAACTCGAGTTATAGGAGTTTAAAATGATGCCTCATGTACGTCCATGACGTCAGTGAGTGCGAATAGATAATGAGCTGCTCTGGTCACCAAGCAATCAGCACTCAGTAGCAGTAATGCTAGTGTTGTACTGCCCAAAACCCGTTTGCTGTAGAAAAAAGGAAACATACAGGTGAGTTTTCTTTGCTGTTTTAGTGAAATACATCCTTACACTTTCTAAAATTAAAGGCAAGTTCTGGGCGAGAGATTAGAAACTATTTTAACTTTTTGTTTTTAGCTGTTTAGTTCCATTTACTCCCATTCATTGAGGACCTGCTTGCGGGCACCCTCTGGCAGTCATGTTTTTGATGTAACGGGGGAAATAGGAAGAGGCCAGGCTCCTCATAAACCGGCTCTGGTTTAACATGGCGGGAGCCAGAAACTGGTCAGAAGTTTATGCTTCAAACTTTAAAAGACAGCAAGATGGATGGCCATGAAGCTCGCCGTAATGAGCTGTTTAGACGAGTAGACGAGCAAATGAATGATAGCATGTTTACCAAAATATAAAGCAAACTGAAAACGGATCGAAGTTTCTCAAACTGGCGTCTTCCAAAGTTAAAAGCCAGAATGGTAAAAGCAGCTCTGACTGGACTCACATGATGCTTGTTGTCATGGTAACGTCTATACTAAGTGGTACACTAAGCATGTTACTGCTGTCGGAACAAAACCTTGTACCTCCATATTTATCATTTTTCAGTTTTTGACATAATTTGAAAATGCCTGCTGCTCTTTACATTGTGTGTAAACTCCATGATGATTGGATCAAAGGAAACAGCCCAAAAAGACTTGGAAAAAAGTCTGGTTCCATTGACTTACATTAAAAGTAAAGTGTGTTTTTTCCTTCTCCCGTAAAGTTACTATTTTGGAGATACGAGGTTTTGTTCCAACAGCAGCGATGTGCATAATTTTGGATCTGATAACTTGTCATGAGCATGTAAACAGAGATTTTCATCAGATTGTCGAGTAGAGTGAGCGGATAAACACCTCAGTCTTAATCTATAATCGGAATGAATTCAATCGGATTGGCAAAAATCATTGCATGTAAACACAGCTGATGACAAAAGAGAGAAAGTCTATCACAGGAACTTTGAGATGAACATTCCACACAGATCAGGCTGAGGAGCAGCAGCAAGCAATGAGTCTCTCCCCAATTCCCCGAGCCACGGTTTGGAATTGGAGTGGGATTTGGGCCTGGGCGCATGATGTGAACAGAACATTTGTTTGGGGAGCGTTCAGATTCCTCAGCTGTCAGCCAGCGGCAGCTGCTTCTACCGGGCCTGAGATTCCCCCCAATGATGAAGCGCCACTCCGATTGGCTGCTGGAGGTGGCACGCTCCTGCCTCCACGCCCTCCAGAGAGACAACGCTGATGGAGACAGCTGGAGGAGGACGGGGTCTGGGCGGTGGAAGAGGAAACAGGGGAAGGAGAGGGAGGGCTGCTACAGGAGTGCCTTCACCATATTAATATTCTCTCCTACCCTCGAGCTGAAAATTAAGGTCCAAGCCAGGCGTGGAGAAGGAAAAAGTCTGCAAAGACTGGGTCAGGGAGAAAACGGATGCCGGAAAGTGACCTGAGTTATGAGATATATCAGTTCAATTTGTTCACCAGTAACGTAGATTATCAGAACTCAATTACTGTAGGGTTAGCGCTGCATTCGGTTAGGGTGGCGCCAAGATTCACTTTAGGGAACTGATGTTTCATATTAGTCTGCCTGTCTGAGTGTCTGCTTTAATTCTCATTACATCGCCGATGCATTGCCAGTTCATGTCGCAACATAGCAATTCTCTATAGAGAAAAACTCATGATTGAGCAATCATGCAAATGTTGTAGCCCATTACTTTGTTAACAAGTGTTTTCTGATCCCCAGAAAGATGCAAGACATTTTTAACGGTAATGTCTCGGAAGTAGCTCCCGCATCGTGACAGAGGAGCAGGATTCCACATAGAAATAACTTCATTTGCAAGCGCGCACACATACACAAAAAGTTATGAGTTTTTCATAAGAATATTAGGGCTGAATGACCAATTCCCTGAGCAAGTGGGCCTTAATTTTTGTACTAGAAAAAGAGCACCTCGTTTTGTGTGTGTCTCTCTCTCACATTGCAGTAATTACCAGCTGTTGTAAAGTGCTATCAAGCCTTCCAGCCAGGCGTGAATGAAATGTGCTCGCATTTCAAATGAAAGATGGTCTACAAATGTGCTGCACCAGACTGCTTAACCGAAGAGATATGAATGCAAATGAAACTCCATCGCAGGAAAAGACTAATAAATACTAATAAATACATTAAATGCATCTCTACATTAAAGCCAGGCTGAACTAATTTGGCCAAAATCAAAGACAACATTCTCATCAGAGAAGAAGATCAAACCCAGGACTGAGTATATATTTAGCCTCCCATGTTCCGACGCTAATAGATTCCTTAAGGAACATTGATAGCTTAACTACCTGACTAATCAATTTAGGGCCCAGAGGGCGGAACCATCAAGACACTCAGCTCACCAACTTAGCCCTGTATCTGACAGGACCATTCCCAGTGAGACAGCCCAAATCGATGCAGGATTACTCCATGGGGGCCCACCTGTAGCACCACAAAGACCCTAATTATCACTTTGCTCAGTGCCAGAGGGACTTCCTAATATTATGAGTGTATAGTGGTTTCCAAGTCCCAAAGGGGGATGCTTTGGCGGTTAGCACGGAGCAGATGATCGGAGTAGGGCACAATTGGGGTCCCTGTTCACCTCCCCAGGGATTCCTCCCTTTGCCTTGTACTCTCTCCAACATCAAAGTCGTTCAGCGGCCTTGGCTTAAGTCTCAATTGAAGGGCTTTCAGTCTGCGATATGAAACCTGCATGTACCACCCACACAACATCAAAGGCTAGCTCTGCTAACAAGAGGCTCAAACTGTATTACTCAAGCTAGCTGAAGTGGATTAACGTCTATAGAGACACAAGGTTGAAAAATTCATATTTGACGTAGAGGAAAGCTTGTCTCCGTTGCCTCATGCTGGGGCAGATAAATGATGCTAAGTGACCCATACAGAGAACGGATCCAGATCTCAACGGCCGGCTAGAAATAGGACGGCTAGAAATGTGGAGGCAATGAAGAGCTGACGATGGCCCCCCTTCTCCATGGCTTTCTCTCTCATCTCTTTCTATTCTCCCCAAACATCCACCATTTTTGCAGCTTCAAAGAATTTGCCATATGTTTATTCCTTTGTTTCTTTAAGTCTTTTGTCTCAGACCTCTTACAGACGCAACGAGCACACGCGGAAGTCAAAGCTACAATAACACAGTCAGGAGCTGCTCCATCATTATCATTTTTCACTGCAGTTTCAGTTTTCTTACAGTGAACCAACCGTAGGCGGCCCTGTTTGTTACAGCACTGAGTGAACTTTTTAAATCACGAACGTTAGCTTCACATTTATAACCCATAAATGTGCTCCCATCTCTCCTCAGCACGGCCCTCTGCCCCCCAGCCCCTCTTTCACCAGGGGGCCAAGACATATAAAAAAAGAAGAATTGACTCTCGGTGGCCCAGTTATTGAATTGTCCTTTTCTGAGCAGGCCGTCTACTGTCTGCACCAAGGTGTTTCACCGCTCACAGCAAGATATTGTACATACTAGGTCATGCCTGTTACACTTCTCGGAGAAAGAACGCT